GTACCAAGACTGCTTTACCATCAATTGTCTGTAAGTGGTGGATGGTCCTGAGCTCAAACCTTTTCACACAAGCTCCACGACCATAAAAAACCCGGCAACACTTATGGTGCATCTTGGGCACAGTTTTTTTTTATCAAATCCTAGCACATGCTGGGACTGCACAGAGCCTTCAAATGTGAGAAAAACTTGAATGGTCCCCAAGCCATAAATCACTACAGTACTGTATAAACTCTTTGGCCCCCACCAGGATTTGAATCTAGACAGCCAGGGGGTTACCTCACTAGCTACCCAGTACTAAGATCACTCTACCATTGATTGTCTATAAGTGGTGGATGACCTTCGTCAGTCATCTCACATGATTTGGCATGTATCTTATTTACTTCCTTGTCTTTCTGGTATATCAATTTCATTATTCTCTTCTAGATTAAGCATACTGTACATATACAGTATCAAATTTTCAAAAGGACATGGTCGCTCATAGTTAATGGAGAAAGGTATTGTACTAAAGCTCAAAGGTATCTTTTTTCTTGGTAAATACCAAATCCAGCATTGATGGAAGATCACCTTCCCACATTCACATTACCTGTTTAACATGTTGAGCCTTGAAAATATCCATGATGAGGTTCACGAGTCTGACCATCTAAATGTTGTCTGTTCTTGCTTCGTAGGTCTCCCAGTCCATTGATTTCAAAATGAAGTCACCAAGTATCAATAATCATGATTTATCTTTATCTACTATTACAATAATCTTTCTCATGATCATTATAAGACCATTTCTTTTGTGTTACCTATTTCTTCCTATATTCATGTGTTGTTTGCTGGTGTGCTCTAGGTTGTAATATTTATCAGCCTCTTGATTTGATTATAGATCTCTGGTGCCATTATGTTAACATCTCATAAGTTGCCGAGCATTAATTCTACCCTTAGTTATTGTGTGCACATGTAATTTTAATATTTAAATTTAAAAATTTAACTTTCAGTAATTTGTCTATCCAAGCATTATGTTTTGATACACAGAAATTTATAACAATGTACAGTATTTGTACATTTTAATCCTGACAACTAATATATTTGATGATGATATCTTTAAGATATTCCTTTAACTTATACTCAAGTATTTAACTTCAGCAATATATTAATACCCAAATCTTTATGAGTTAATGAAATATTTTAAAGAATTTTTTTTTGTTAATTATTTACTACAATCTGGGTCTCTTACAAAATCCTAAAATCAAAGTTTGAATACAATAATCTCAACATGTACAATTGTAATCAACAATGGTGAGATTTTTAATAGTGCTGAGTGCTTTTTGAGTCATATGATATGCTACATAAAAAACTTAAGACTTTAAAACATTTCAGTAATGACACAGTGACTCTCGTCCTTTAGTAGTCTTGGTAATACACTCTCCTTACCCCAGCAGATAACATGAGCATCACTTGATGAGAACCCAAACTCCACCACGCTCGGAAAATAGTCTGCACATTGTTGTATGCATGCATGATTTATAATTAGCAAATATTTTTTTCCACAAGATGAATGATAACTATAAACAAAAATATAAATTCATTTACCAAATGACACGTATAGCCTACTGTAGAAGAAAGTTTGCTTTTTACCTGTACACAAAATTATCCTTTTTTCTCCTCCAAGGTATCCACAAAGACAAAAGAAATTGTAAAAGATGACAAAAGGAATATATTTAGCCTAATTTTTTATTTACAATTTGATGTTATTAAACGACCACTAATATTGTTTGATTACTTTCTCTGAAGCACAAACATTCTATAACTTTAATTAATTAATAGCATGGGTATGTATAGGAAGCCTACAACTTAAGAAGACCCACTTGCCCAACTTAACACTATCGGTCTCTTTGGACACTGCTCGCGTTCACTTTTTTCTCTCAAGTCCTAGCCGTGGACTGTGCTCGCGTCCAATACAAAAAATATTTGTATAAAATTAATTTTTTATCCGATCAACTTGGGGATAGTTTCAAAATGAGCGCCTTTAGTGTATGCACAATTTGATACCACAATGAAAGATGTAACACGAAACTTGATGTCAGAACACTGGAATGATATAAATATATTGATGATGAGCATCCAAAATTAAAATATTTGTTAAAATTCCTGTTATTGCTCTATTATTATGGGAGTAGTTTTAAAATATGTGCCTTTATATTGCTAACAATTTGATACCAAAACGAGTGATGTAACATGAAAATTGATGTTATCAAATTGAACGAGTACAGTATACACATTAGGTTGCGGGTGTGATAATTGGTGCTCATTCATGGGTAACTTTAGGCTTGCTAAGGGGATTCACACCGGGCTTTTGGACAATATATGCATATACACCTGCAGGGAATTTAATTGCAAACACAATGACACCAAAATGAACAACGTAGCACGAGAATTAAGGTGAGAAAACTGAAACGGGTATGCACATTTTGATGTCACCGCACGCTTGCCCGCACGCCTGGGCCATGACCTCTAAGTTGGCGGTGCGCATGCTGTAGGCTCGAAAGTGTTAATATTTTAATCTGAAAAGATTTTCTATTTGAAAGTTAAAAGTTTTATTCTTGAGGCCTCAACTCCAGAACTAAAAAACCCTGGGAAGAGCCACGATCCACATCAGACACCAAAGAAGACTGGCTGCCCTTTCTCCCTCCACCCCACGAAGGAGAATCGATGCCCCAAGAACCCTTCAGAATGAATTCCTAATAAGAAATACTGGCTCAAGCCTCTTCTGCTTGCAAAGAAGGGGCAACCCTCAGAGAAGGCCCTGTTACCACCTATAACAACACCAGTCATGCGCCTGGACTCCGGATCCCAAGATGCATCAGACCATAACTGATCTGGCCTCTCGCAATGTTCAAAAGAGAACTTGATAAACACCTGGAAAAGATATCTGATATACCAGGCTGTGATTCATATATCAAGCTGCAATTATGTGTCCAACAGCCAGATTGACAGGACCACCAAACGGAATGCTGCTTCAGAGACCGGTCCATGGGAATGTTGATCCTCGAAATCACCACAAGGTAAGGTAACCACAAGGAAGGCCATATACCAAAGTTGGAAGAAAGGAGCATGCATAGCGCACAACACCAGCTGGGCCCAATGAGGAGCGAGATGGGGGGAACAAACTTGAGGAAAACTTTCTTAACTAAACACTCCTTATTCACATAATAAAACAGCAGGGGCTCAAGCTCCTAGGCATCAAAGCTGGACCAAGACAGCAAACAATGCAAACAAGACTCTCTTCCTACAAAGTGGCAACCACTTGAAAAGTCCCACCCTAAAAAGGGAACTAGGCCAAAAGAGATCCCAGCAAAGAGACCCAGCGAAGACACACGTGGGATGAGAACCATTAACAACCCAAAAAGTGGAATGGCAGAAGCAGAAGGAATGGTTACCAGTAGGAACTAAAGCCATACAGCATCCAAAAAATCCACACACAGCAGGAGCAGGCTCAAGCAAAGTCTATAGCCTACCAACACCAACAAGATCTGTAAGAATTTCCAGCATGGATAAGGAAAATCTGCTTGTATGCCAAGCATAATGGATAACTGTTGATTAAACCCATAATTCTGCTTGGGAAATGCAGTGAGGGAAGCCAAATGTAGTGTACAACCAACAACCAACACCTGTTTTGTGACCCACACTGGACATCCCAAACAAAACAAACCTCAAACTTGCCCCGGTATCCAGGCCTTATAGAGACTTCTTGAGAGAAGATAGCCTTAAAAAAGTAGATACCTGATCCCCTCTAGGAATTAAACCTGATTGGGCAGGGACAATACCAGCAAATGCCTAGGGAAGAGATGCTTAACACATGCAATTCGAGGAGAGCAATTGACGCAAGTTTCACACAAAATGTGAGGCCAGAAAAAACACACACATGAAGCAACAAAAAACTGGAACAGACACACAGAGGTTCCAACAGGACAAAATTCAAAAGGATAGCCAAAACTAATATGAAAAATCTGGACCAGAAAGGACCAAGACATGAAAAAGCTGTGAACACCACACCAGGCACATGACTGAGGTGACTGGCTGGCTGGGCCCCTGGAGCTGCCATAAGGTAGTGAAGGTTTAATTAACTAGCAGTGGTAACTGGCCAGTGCATGTGTACCTAGTTGACAAGGTAGCCAATGTTTCTCTATGCTGTTACTTGTTTTGGGGTACTCTTCCTTTCTGACAGTTTTTCCTCTTGGTTCTGAGGTGATCTAGTAACCCAACACTTCCTTGCCTCTAGTGAGATCAGTTTCTGCCTCTGTTCTCTGGCAGACTTTCATGGTCCACAAGGACCTGGTGTGACACAATAGGTGTGGAGGCAACTAGTTTAGGGAACCAACAAGAGAAGCTTTCCCAGAAAACAAAAATAACTGCCTACAGATTGGCAAGGAGGAATAACCTAAAACCTTCCATTGTATTAATACTAAATATATAACAATACAAATCTTAGTGAAATAATTTATCCTTTACCACTAGAGTACAGATGTATAATTTAGAAAATAAAACAAAAAATAGGGATTCATTCCAAATATACGGTAAGCAATAAATATTCCAACCCACACTTGTGAAATGAAATGAAAGTGATGACGTAATCAAGAAATAGTGCTTAATAACAAAAATACTACAGTATATCTAATTAAATTTGAGAATATACTAACACACAAAAATAAGCTACCATATATGATTTAACTTTATGGTAATTCTTCTGGTTAAGTGTAATATTGTTAGAATGTTAAAGAGTTGTACTGCATAAATTTAAATACAATTGAAATAAATTTTCATAACCATATACTGTAAACATTAGTGCCATTTGGTAAAAATAATATAATATGTATTATCTCAAGAACTTCAAAAGATGCTAATAACACTGTTTTCCGAGAGTGGCAGACAGGAATGGGACAAACGTGTAATGGAATGAGCCATGCGGCAGTAGACACTGGTGACACCATGCAACGCGAGGACGGCTAGCACCAAACCTGCCAGCTGGCCAAACTCGACCCGTCGTGGTCTGAGCCACGCTTGGAGGCACCACCTCCACCCAACAACGTCAGGGACTTTTTCGACCCTTTGTCACTACCAAGTACATTGTCTATGCTGCAAAACGGAGAAGATTGAAGCATGATATGAGTTCAATGTAAACTGTGGATTATCAAGGTCTATGTCATATACACAAGGATGTTAACAGTCATCATATACTGACAATCACCACAATCAGAATTTAGAAACAAATGATAAGGCTTCGGTCAACAAAATTAATATTTATCTACATTATAATACTGTACATAATTATCAATTTTTTTTTATTTTCTAATATAAATATCTAGTATTTGAAAGTGGTGACTGCTTCACAATTACTTAATAATGAACATTTTTATTATCATGATATTTCACGTGACATCTTGTCCCCTTGCTATGATTACAGGGTCGTGGCCGTGGATGAAGAGTTGTCGACGCCCTACCTTACGTTGGACTGGGAGAGGCTGTCCTGGCGACTCTGGTGTCCCTGGCACTCCTGCTGCTCATCAATGGAACGGGAGAGGCTGGTCCTTGATGCATGGGTGCTCTTGCTTGGTGCGGCGGGTGCTGCTATGCCCATCAGTCGCGCAAACAAACTGGGCTTCTGTGGTGCCACCATCGAGGGTCAGGGGAGGGTGAACAGCTCGATATATGGAAGCTATGGTTGGGCTAGAATAGCTAAATATTTGATATATGACTGATAAATAGATCATATACAGCACAATATATCAATACTTAAACTACTTTAACTGTCAGCTTTGATAAAATTTCACATGACAATGATATATCTAAATTCCCTAATAAATAAATTCCACAAACAATAGCTTCCATTTCTCGAACTCTTACAAACATCGACTCGAACATCAGGTTTTATGTAATTTAAGTGTAATTTATAAACATCAATGACAGCTAGAATAAAGAAGTCAACCAAATGCGGGATAAAAGAAGAAGGTTGTGAAGGAGTCGTGGCATGACAGTCGTAACCCATTAAACTCTGCGAGGACAAGCCCTTTATGGTTACTGGTTTAAAATCTTGATCTTGCTAGTCATTTTTTCAATCTAACTACAATATCTGTTATATTTCCTGAGTAGTCATCTCCAGAGAAGCATGAAGCAATAGATTTTGCCACATGTTTTCTATATGACTGTTACATTTTGATTTTTCCCTAATTTTTATAGTGTACCCAAAGTCTACTAGAGTGTGGATCACTCAGCTTCAAAACTTTAAAATCTACAACCGCCATCCACAAACACCAACATTATCTGTTTTTCAATATTTTTGTTTCGTGTGCAAAAACATTGTTACAAACATTGGGTCAAAAGCTCAACATGAAAAATTTAGATAATGAAAAGGTCCCATTAATGTTACATAAATTTCTTAGTGCCTTGTTTCAGTTGTATATATTAATGTTTTAGCAGATGCATTATGGAAACTGTTTAAGTACTGTATTCTATTTTATAAGTCACTATCAAGGAGTCAGTCACAATGTCAAAGATAATATCACCATTCAGAAACCTGATCCATTATCCACAGATGTTATATCTTTGTAGAAGTAAACAAAAATAACATTTTCAGTATAGTTAAACATGAAAATTATAAAATGCTTTATAACAATCACAGACGAATCCCATTAAATTTCACTAAAATTACATCCCACTTTCATAGAAAATAATGATGTCTAAAGTCAGAATACCTACTAGTTCTATGAATAAGATAAAAATAATATGCCTAGAAAGTAACATACTTTCAGGAAGATCACTCACTTATGAAGTTACATATGAAGAGTGATACTCATGAAAGTTTTTCCAAGAGGCCAAGGTAGCAAGTGATAGGATCATGGCTTCAGGTATGTGTACACTAGCATGAGGGCGGGTGGCTTACATGCGAGGCTCTAGTAGTTAGTTGATACTTGAACTTGTTCACATATCTTCATTACCCAGAACATATAGACATCTGGCCTGGTCGACGACCAGGCCGCGGGGACGCTAAGCCCCGGAAGCACCTCAAGGTATCTCTATTTACACTTAAAGGGTTTTAAAAAAAATTTAATATGCAATCATTTGTTCCATAAACTCTCGAAAAACTAAAACTCAAATCTATACTTTTTTTAATGCTGAAGTGGTGGGGGTTTGTCTTCTAGTAACATCTCAAGATAGAGGTGCCTTTAGACGTAAAACGAGAGAGAAAAACTTGTGACCAGTAATTAGATTTTTCCATAATCAAAACAGATGGTGCTTATGTAGAATAATACAAGGCATGGAGTGTTTATGAAGAAATTTTTGTAAGAAAAGTAAAAAGCCAAAAACATGTTTTGAATTCTCACATGACAAAAGGTGAAGGAAAACAGCAACATAGCAAATTGTGAGCATCCTAATTTCAAACCAATTGAGTGTGCAAATGTAAAGATATTAACCTGTCAAATTGATCCCTTCAAATGCAGAGACAAATAGTTGTAAAATCCTAAAGTAAAAATTCCATTGTCATCATTGTCAATAAAAAATTACAATGTCATCATCATCAAAACCTCATTTTCCAGTTTCATTGGGTGGAGAGACCTCAACCCAGACGAAACAGAAGATCAAATTGAAGCACCTTAGCCATAGTTCTAGGTTTATTTAGGATATGGTACACTCTAATTACCCAAATTATGGGTTTATCTACAAAGCAAAATCAAAATTTCCCCCATATATATATGATGAATATTCACTCAGAGAACATGACTATAATACGTATTTATCACTCCCATTCCTTGTCTTCTGAAGATGTCACATTGCTAATGAAACATCGAACAATAAATAAATATATATATATATATATATATATATATATATATATATATATATATATATATATATATATATATATATATATATATATATATATATATATATAAAAAGTTTTTTAACATTAATAATTTGAGAAATTCTGGGTAAAGAAGATATTAACAGACAAGTTCAACCCTTCATCTTGAGTCTCCATACACGAGGAACCACCCAGATATATAATGGAACCCTCGTGGAAAACTCCAACACTGTTTTTTGGATGTAAGCAGTTCTGTTCACAGCCTTGCAGCAAGTGTACAAGTGTATTTATTATAGATTTAAATCCGAGTCTGTTCAAGAGACATGGCCAGGTTCTCTGTGCACAAACGTCAAAGCATATCTAGTAAAACTTAAAAAAAATATATGAAGTATTTGCAGTTACTGAATATCTCAGAAAAATACTAAAAAAATGAACAGATATTTTTACAGATGAAGCTGTGCAGGAGCAGTGAGAGACTTATACTGTGAAGAGAGAACCTGGACAGATACTGTGCAGTGCATCCAGCTACATCATGATGAGTATAGTGGGGTGCTGTACTCTCATCTCTCACATGTCTGGCCCACATCTCTTCACTTTTATAATAACTCTAAACTTATAATGAAAGCTTAAACCAGTATGATACTGAATTACTTTGTTAACTTCTATAAATTTGCTATTAATTTTATCACTTAACATATTTTTAAATAATAAGTAGAGCACAAAAAAACTTAAACATTTCAAATGTTTAAGCGATCCACTTAATGAAAATATCAGATTATAATAACCTAATCACTCAAACTTAATTTTTCTTCTGGAACCAAGAAAATTTAAAGTTGTAATAATTTTAGTTTTTTTTACTTCTAGATCAAAGAAGCTGGATACATTTTGGAAAACTGACTCGGAACATCTAATTTTCCTGGAAACTATATAACCAGTCAAAATAGCAGCATACAGTTTATGCAACAAAAAGCAAATTCGTGTACTGGGTAAATGGCGTGAAATATAAGATTAGATTTTCACAAGTCTTACGAACATCTTAAAATCTTCTGAATATTACAGCTTAAATAATAACACTGGCTTAGCTGTTTTATTAATTGTACATGTTTAAATAAAATGCAAATTTTGTCAATTCAATTACAATATATCGCAAACTAAAATGAGCACCAGTAAAGTTTCATTTATATATACTGTACATCCATATATTTGCCATAATTTTCATTATTTATTCTAATGAGTAAAAATGCCATAAATGTAAAGAAGGACCAATAATTATTTGTCCCCTTCAGTGAAAATCATAATCTTATCATGTCACACCATATACGCACAAAATATGCATAACTCCAAACTTTCGACTTTAAGTATAACAAACATGAGCAAAAAGTAAAAGTCGTATGAGAGATTATGGAAAGAAATTAAGATAATCTCAAAATACTACCGCATCTATCGGGGAGGCTGGGGCTCTTTCCTGCAATAAAACAACGAGACAAGGTGTGTCACTCACTACAACAGGCGCCACGTGTGCACTTATACCAGCTACCAAGCACTCTTATACCAGTTACTTTGTACTGCACAGTAATAAATACCACAACAATTATTAAGTCAATTTTCGGCACCCAGAAACTTCCGCATTAAACTGAAATCCTAACAAAAGTCCTTTACTTCTTATCATTTTGAGACATCTGAAGAGGTTTAATATAGTATGTTATTAAGATACAATTTGAATATTAGGTCTCATTATGTTTATAATATTACAAATTTAATACGCACTTTTAAAAATGATAAAAATGTGTCATTCAAAGACAAAGCAGTTTAAAACAATTATGAGACAAAAACAATTTTAACTTAAGTTACAATAGAAAAAATCGTCTTTTAAATTTTTGCCAACATTAAGGAGTGATTTAAATTCTATTCTTGATAATCTGTAATCATTATTAAAGCTGGATATAATTTCTATTGCGGATGGAATGGTAGACTTAAGAATGAGGCACAGTATCAGAGTAAAGCCTGGACATAAGGTTAGTGCTGGTATTGGTACTAGGTCAAACTGGGTCAAACGAAGGCAACACAACTACATCTACTTGGCTTCTCACTGACAATTATTCCTAGACTGCCCATGTTTCAAATGCTGTTGTAGGCACTTATTATTTATTTTTATCAGTGTCACAGTCAACTATTAGTTTCTTTTGTTAAGTGAACAAAATGAATGCATTATATTGACCAGACCACACACTAGAAGGTGAAGGGACGACAACGTCTCGGCCCGTCCTGGACCATTCTCAAGTTGATTGTGAGAATGGTCCAGGACGAACCGAAACGTCGTCGTCCCTTCACCTTCTAGTGTGTGGTCTGACCAACATACTTCAGCCATGTTATTGTGACTCATCACCTGAATGCATTATAATAAATTGTATTGTATGTACTAAAAGAAAAGAACATTCTTATGTGCATACAAAATTTGAAGTCAATGGGAGTTAAAAACAATGGTCAACACACTAAGTTATTGAGTGAGATCAAGGGACTATATAATTAAAAATGTAATATTTTAAAATTCATAGCATCATTATTTGTGAAAAACTCATATTTTGTAAGAGTAGTCCGTAATCTCCCTCTATAAGACAGTCTCACTCAATGGGGGGGACTAGCTTGTTCTTGGAGTCTATTTTGCTGGTGCGTAATAATTTTAACTTATTTTGTTTATCAATCAGAATCTTAAAATTTAAAAATAAATTTTGTCCACCTGAATATATATTAGCTAATAATTGTAGTGATAAAATAGATCAGTTATTGTTTCCTATAAAAATAATTTCTTTGAAAGTTTCAAGCAATAAAATTATCATAACATATTTAAACAGCATTTAGAAGCAAAATTTGGCTGGATACCAGCAAATTAGATCATCTCCAGAACACTTCACTGGGTAGCAAAATGTTGCCATGTATAAAAATATATGAGGACTGTAATGGCATTTTCTAATACTGTACTAGCAAGTATTTCTAGGTCACCAGTGGTGATAAAGACAAAATGGGGCAACATACACACACACACACATATATAATGATGTCAGGTCACAATCCAACAGACATGACCACCTTTCCAGTCGTCACCAAGATGGTCACCATTATGCTTGTCACTGTGATGTGATTATCACTGTTACGGGGAAATGGGAGATCATAATTGTATGATGGTTACCATTAAACAAAGTACCATCACTGCACTGTATTTCATTATACTGTATTGAAATGGTGACAGGTATTACAGGAAGGTGATTTGGATGCTGAAGTATCGATGAAAAATTACACGATGAAGTACAGAGGACTGGGGATGTGCAGTGTAACATGTCCCAGAGCTTATCCATGTTACGAAAATACAAATGTTGCTAAATAAAATGGATACTGAATATAAATTCAGCAAATTTCTATTTTAAAGCTTATTACTACAAAAAATTATTTGGTAAAACTCTCCTAAATTCTAGTAATGGAGGTAATTACTACACACTCGGGCAACCTAGAGCAGCATTTTCAATACGTACTTGACCTAATTACTTACACAGAGTGACAATAAAAAACATCAACCCTCTTACAGGTCAAAATTCTCTGTGAATCACATTAGAGCATTTTGTACATTATACAGCAATATTTACAAACAAAGTAAGACCATGAGTCCTATGATACTGTACCATCACACAAGTTTAAATCCTCACCCATATACAACATTATGTTGTAAACGAAAGGGCTGTCTGAGGGTTAACTTATATCAATTTAATTAGTGACGACAAGATTGCTAAGTAATGCATGTAAATTAACAGTTTGTAGTTAATAATTAAACAATATATAAAAATTGAGTAGTTTGTTATTGCTCAAATGATTCCAAAAGAAGTAGGCCCTGTGTCACCTATTCAGACAGGCATAAACTAAAAATTTTCAAGTCTCATTTTAAGATGAATAAATACTTAAAACAGTATGTCGAAAGGTAAATGTGTATTTCTATTTATAGAAATACTCACTACTATTCAGATATGCTTAAATAGGTAAAATATTCCCATAAAATGTCCCTTGTAAATATTGTCATAGAGTACAGCTCCTTCTACTTATTATACCAAGTAAGCTACCGGTGTTCTGGATTCAGTACCACAAATCTGCAGAGTTTACTAGATCCAGATCCGTAATAAACTACAGTAAACTATATCAGCCAACAGCAAGATGGTTGTACCAATTATGGATCTGCTAACTATGAGCTATATCTAATGGCATGTTTGTGTGGCATACACAGGAAGCTGATCAAAAGGACCTTTATACTGTAGATCAAACCCTTTCTTTATTGATCTATTTAGTTTAAATGACTTTGTCAACAGTGTACTACCAAATCTAAGCTCAATATAAATTGCAAGCCTGCATTTAGCCTGCTGCCACCAAAACATGCCTAAAGTGAACAAGGCACTTTGTTGTTCGTTTAGAAATACTCTGCTGACTGTTAGCCTTTAGCGTCTGAGGAGCAAGTGTGTGCTAACATAAACAACAGGCGGCTGCATTCAACACTAGCCAAATTTTGTTCCACTGTTACTGGGTTTCATATACTGTATAAGTGCTTATAGTAACAGACTGAACATTAAGTGTAAAGTGACTTGGCATTATTTGATCAAGTATCCATGATAATGCACTTCAAATGCTTCCTTAAAAAAAAAATTATCTTTGTCAGAAGTGCAATAACAAGCTAAAACCTTTACCATATACTGTACTGCAAAAGAAATGGAATGTTTTCTTATATGAGAAATATATTTTTTTATATATAATGCATATCAATTAATCAAATACACATGGTTAAATTAAAAAAAATAACAAATATCTATTGACACTGCACACTAACCAATTCAGTGAATTTATTTATGCGATGTTAAATTTCTGAATATATACTGAGTAATGTATGCTAGCTAATTAATTCAAAGAATTTACGAGTGGCAAGCATTTACGGGATGAAGACAGAAGCATGTCTAAATTATGTGGCAAATTATGATATGTGCTAAGAACAGCCGCCTTACTGATTCTGATCCCTGCTCCTCAGTTTGGTCAGTCTCCTCAGTTTCCTCTGTATCGATGAATTTGTTTTCAGATTTTTCCACATTACTAAGGAGGTGCATTTCCTCCTCACATAAAATGTCCTCTGTTGATTCATACTTTTCCTCCTCCTCCTCCTCCTCATCATCATTCTCTATATTTTCATATTCATCTTCAATCTCATCCTGTAAGATTTTGGAGAGGTTTCTTATAAGGAGCAATTGCCAGCCACTATCTCTTAACTGAAGCACCACTCGTAGGCTTGTATAAATCATAGTTAAATAAAATACTATACATGAGATGTGCATTATAATCAGGGGTGGTAATTTTAGTAAACAGTGTTCTCTTTCAAAATTCAATTGGAGAATGTATTTACAAAAATACTATAATGTAATTCTGATTAAAATGCACATAAATTATTCATAAATAATAACTGCAGTGACTTCTCCCCTCAAGGAAGAGGAGTCACCAAAAGTAGACACTGACCAGGCCTCCCGTTGGCTGGATCTGTCCAAAGCGAGTAGTTCTCCAGTTTTCAACAATGAGTAGACCACCATAGATTTTGCCCACTGTCAGCTTTTCTAATCTTAGTTCTGCAAACAAATGTACATTTATATAAATACATTATATAGCAAAAATTATATAGCTCTGGTAAGGGGTATCATGTCAATTCATTCAATTCTATGCAATGTCAGTCTGTCCTACTCTCACAAACTACATCAGTCTGCCCTACTCTCACCCATTACACACGTCTGTCGTCTGTTCTCTCACAACCTACATACGTCTTTCCTACTCTCACAAACTACATCAGTCTCTCTTACTCCCATAAGCTAGATCAGTTTGTTCTACTCTAACAAGCTACATCAGTCTGTTCTACTCTCATAAGCTACATCCATCTGTTCCACTCTCACAAGCTACATCAGACTATTTTTCTCTCATAAGCTACAGGTGCAGAGAGCAGGTGACAATTTGCCACCCTCACTAGAAAAGCCTTCAGAAAGTCAGCACAGCTTTACAGACAACTGCAAGGTTCACAGAAAACAAAGCATAAAAATATCATCAAAATAACTACAGTAACACAAATGAGTTGCACAGTACAAGAATTTACCATCTCACTCAGACAAGCTGAAAACTTGTTAGTGCTGATTAACATCACCAAGCAGCCTAGCCCTAGCTCCCAGACAGTTCCACAAGTCAGTTCTGTTACTGATGTTGGTGTCCCCACACCAACCTGTAGTGCTTCTGGTCATGCTAGCTCAGGAGTGAGCCCCAAAGTGTCCTTCTACTTGTTTGTCCTGTTTATTTTAATATATTGTTTCAGATTTTAGTGTAGCTTCACATGCATGTTTTGATTCCAGCTTGTTGTGTAGGCTTGGCTCTTTGTGCATTTTGGGCTGCATGTACTCAGGATTTTCTTCCCTGTATGCCTGTTAACGCTGCCTTGCGTGGCCAAAGTTTACCTTCCCTGGTGTGTTCGGAGGTTTGTCCCTGTGAGGCCAGCCTCACTGCGGTGAGGGGCCTCACCTTGGGCTGTTCAGAGGTCTTGCTTCCTCCATTGGGTCTTTGGTTAGGGGCATTCTTTGGTTGTGTTGGGGTGCACTGCAGGGTTTCTATGCTTGTTTACATTGTTTACATGGTTGCTTCGTGGGTTCTTGCTTGGCAATGCATAACAAATTTACAATAATTTAATCTCTCCTCAATTATACATTTGTTGAGGTATAACTATAAATTTGTCATCAAAAAGTTCACAAATATATATATCTAGATGATAGATGCAAAAATGCCACATCAGAATAGGAGAAAATAGGCCATTCACAATCTGCAAATTGCGGGGAAAAACTTTTAAGGAATTCTGATAAAGGAAGAGATCTTAGGGTGGTTTTGGATAGAAAACTATCACCTGAGAACCACATAAAAACACTGAGGAGAGTGTATGCTACACTTTCCAGCTTCAGAATCCCTTCAGAATCACTTTCACGTTTCAAAAACACTTAAATGCATCATCTGAAGTCTGACAGTAAACATTTCAATGACACTAAAATGCACAATCTGTACTTTGACAGTAAATGTTCTGATGACACTAAAACACATCCAATAATTATTCACAAAACATTCGTACATTCAGCACTGTCAAGCAAAATCTAACATAAATACACTTTTATTCCAATTCAATAAAATTTTCCATGCAGTGCTCCATACACGTATTTTGCCTTCTTGAAGGGCATGACAGTCATCCAAGTTACAGTACTTATTTTCCCTAGTACCTTGGCAGCATGTATGCATGTGTGATCAAAGTTTACTATATGACTCATTTAGCTGCTGTAACTGCTAACCTGAAAATAGTATTACTGAACTATAATTTAGAAACTAAATGTAACTGAAGACGTGGTAAACATCAAGTCATTAAATTCTGCTCTAAACTCACCATCATCAGGAGGCACTATATAGTCTATATTCTTTTTCGCTTGAATTGGCCAGAGCTTCTTTATAGTGGCACGAAGCTCTAAATTTGCTTGGTCCATCTCTTCAGCTGTTCTCATCTTTATACAAAGGTTCTCTCGAATTAAGGCAAATAATGTTGTTGTAAAATGCACCTGCAAGAGAAAAGAGCAAATAATAACAGGACTGAGTAATATACTGGATACTCAATATTTAGCAAAATCCAGTAATAAGTAAACCATTTATTATAAAATTTGAATATTTAGACAATAAAAAAATATGAAAGTACATATCTTAAGTGTAAGACATGCATTTTCAAAAAGTGGATATTTTTACCTGAAGGCCACTAACCCTAGTGGCCTCGACAAGGACAGGAAGCCAGTGGCTTGTCAAAGGTCCCCCCGCCCCATTTGCCTTGATGATCTTTTCCAGGTATATTTTAAAACTCAACAAATTTTTTATCAGTTATGGCTTCAGGGGGTAGGCAGTTCCCTGGGTTAATAACCCTGTGGGTGGAAACGCATCTCTTGTTCTCAGTCTTACATTGTGGCTTGTTGAGGTTGAAACAGTTGCTCCTTGTTTGTGTTACATCTGACCTTCGAAGAAAATATCTGGATCAACATCCTCTAACTTGTTCAGTATTTTAAAAGTTTCAATGAGATCCACCCTGCCGTGCCTGATTTTCAATGTTATTAACCCTGTGGCCTTCAAGCATTCCTGATATGAGAAATGACTTAGCTCTGGAATGACTTTTATTGCCTGGTGTTGCACCTTCTCCAGAGCAGTTATGTCCTACTGAAAATGAGGTCTCCATACTTGGATACAGTAATCCAAATGTGGGTGCATCAGAGATTTATACAGTTGAACCATTACCTTCTTTTCCTTATAGTCAAAAGTGTGCTTGATTATCCCAAGAGTGTGGTTAGCTTTACTGACTGCTGCACCCACCTGTTGTGCAACTTTTAATGAGTGGTGGATTTTAACTCCAAGGTCCTTTTCTTTATCAATCTGCTGTAATGTAATGCTATTAATTTGGTAATTGTGGTGTGGATTACTATGCCCCACATGCATGGTCTTGCATTTGTCAATATTATTTAGCAGTCTCCGTGGTGTAGTGGTAAGACACTCGCCTGGCGTTCCGCGAGCGCTATGTCATGGGTTCGTATCCTGGCCGGGGAGGATTTACTGGGCGCAATTCCTTAACTGTAGCCTCTGTTTAACGCAACAGTAAAATGTGTACTTGGATGAAAAAACGATTCTTCGCGGCAGGGGATCGTATTCCAGAGACCATAGGATTAAGGACTTGCCCGAAACGCTACGCGTACTAGTGGCTGTACAAGAATGTAACAACTCTTGTATATATCTCAAAAATATGTGTAATTTAATAGTAATATTTATGATAGATGTTCCCTTTGGGAATCTTAATTTCAAAATGAATAGGAAACCCTTGATATAACAAACCTCTTGTTTCAGATTCTTTAATTTAAAAAGCATGATATTTCAAATACTTCCTCTATTCATCATCAGATCTAAAGATCTGTTTTTCTTTTAGATCTGATGATGAATATGAGAAATATTCGAAACGTCATGCTTTTTAAAGTTAAGAATCTGAAACAAGATGTTTGTTATATCAATGGTTTTCCTATTCATTTTGAAATTAAGATTCTCGAAGGAAACATCTAACATAAATATTACTATTAAATTACACATATTTAATATTGACAAATGCAAGACCATTTAAACAAACTACAGTGGTACATACCTCGAATAATGAATTTAATCCGTACTGGTGCTGTTCTCGTCATGTGAAATGCTCATCTTTTAAAATGAATTTCCCCATTTAACATATTGGAAATAAAAATAATCCATTCCACCGCCGAAAAACATCAATATGATATTCGATTTTTTAATTAATGGAACATCCTACCTGACATACACTAAACGAACTGTTATGACATTTGTGCATTTTTCAAATTTGTTCAATTTTTTTATATTTTTTTTATAACAAAAGGTTTGTTCTGTGTTTGTTAGGTAGGCTGCTCCATGTTTCTTAAAAAACTAACAAAAAAATTGAACCAATTTGAAAAACGTACAAATGTCAAAGGTTCGTTCAGTGTTTGTCGGGTAGGATGCTTCATTATGACAATCTTTCTTTGTTTCAAATGTGTTCAATTGTTTGCATTTTTCATTTATTTATTAATAATGGAGCAGCCTACCTGACAAACACTGAACGAACCTTCATGACATTTGTTCTTTTTTCAATTATTTTTTTTTAGTTTTTATATTGTTTAAAGAAACATGGAGCAGCCTACCTGACAAAAACTGAACGAACCTTTTTGACATTTGTTCTTTCTGCAATTTTTTTCATTTTTTTTTATTCTACAAAAAAAAGGTAAATGTTTTGCAACATCACAGCAGTCACCCCTTTACATCCCAGCATCATTAGCATCTTTAAAAAAAAACCAATTATTTGCATCGTTGGAGGCATCCGAGAATGTGCCAGAAGCAGTGGGAACGCACCACGTGGTTTTCTGGCTATTCAAACGAGCACTTGCCACTCGAGACAAATTGTCGGTGATTGGCGTGCACGTTATTCAAAATGCTCGTAAACTGAGGTGCTCGTCACTCGAGGTTCCACTGTATTATTTTCCTTGTTTGAATACCTTAACTTTGTCTTGCCCCCAGGAGAGAGAAGTGAATGTTCCTGCTCAGGTACATAGGTCAAATGATGTACTGTACTAGCATGAAATATTATAGGGCATGCTTTAGTTTGCTTTTGTATTTCATGCAGTAATGTACGGGTTTCGACAGTTTGTACTCTAGTGTACGACTTAGAAGCTTGAGCCCTTACAACAATAATTCTATTGCTACACCTAAATAAAAATGTTAAATACTTAAAAATAAATAAATGTTTATATTACATTTCATCTGTGTCATACAAATTAATTAAGCTTGACTATCATTACCTTAAAAATGCTTACTGTCATGATTTAAGAGACAAAACCACCTGCATCTTACCTTTCCATCATTATCTAATGGCATATTCATTCGTATAAGTTTCTTGTATGCCAATCTGTATGGACACTTGTTGCCAAACCCCAAAGGAGGGTCCATGTTTCTCAACATATCATACATCTCTGTATAGTGTATTCTCCCTCTGCAAAATAATTATAAACTGTAAATACAGAATAAATATAGAGATTTCTTTTTGAATGATTATGAACATGAAATACAGCGACTTCAGCAAATAGTACGGAATGAAGACACACAATCTGATACGCATATAAATTGTCTTATTTTATAAAACAACAAATTAGTTTGAAACTAAAGAGTGTTACAAAAAAATTCTTATCTTTTTTTTTCCAATCATATATCTTGAGACATTGGTAATAAAATAAAATTGTCTCAGGACAATTTGTCAAAGCATGCACAATTCAAACTTCTTTTGTAATTATCTTGACCATTTGAACACTATTGGCAGGCCTAAAACAAAACATCTTCAGCTCAGAAGTGCTATATTTACTACATAAGCACAACCTCATTCAGATGGGCACCATTTTCACTTGATAGTCCCGTCTCCACAAGACAATCCCCCTCTTCTTAAGCTGGACTCCATATATATACTAGACGAGCACCATTTCCACTAGATGGGCACCATTTCCACTAGATGGGCACCATTTCCACTAGATGGGCACCATTTCCACTAGATGGGCACCATTTCCATTAGATGGGCACCATTTCCACTAGATGGGCACCATTTTCATTAGATGTGCACCATTTCCACTAGATGGGCACCATTTTCATTAGATGGGCACCATTTCCACTGGATGGGCACCATTTCCTCTGAATGGGCACCAGCTCCACTAGATAGGCACCACTAACACTACATGAGCAGTTTTCCATAGATGGACACTATATTCAATAGTTGGGCATCTTTTCTATAAATAGATAGGCACCATATCCTCTAAATGGCACCATATCCACTAGATGGGCAGCATATCCAACAGATGGGCATCGTATTCACTAGATGAGCACCATTTCCACTAGATGGGCATCTTTTCCAGAAACAGATGGGCACCATATCCACTAGATTGGCACCATATTCACTAGTTGAGCACCATATCCTGTAGATGGGCACCATATCCAGTAGATAGGCACCATATTCACTAGATGGGCACCATATCCAGTAGATGTATACCATATTCACTAGATGGGCACCATATCCATTAGATGGGCACCATAAACACTAGATGGGAACTATAACCACTAGGGGGAGGGGCACCACTTCCATTGGAAGGAAACCATATCCATTAGATGGACACCATTTCTGCTAGATGGGCACCTTTTTGACTAGATGAGCACCATTTCCATAGATGGGCACCATTTCCACCAGACAGGTACCCTTTTCACTAGACAGGCACCATTTCCACTATATGAACAACATTTCCATAGGAACCATTTCCACTAGATGAGCACCACTTCCACTAGTAGTGGTGTTTGTGGAAAATGTGTTTGTGCAAAAGTGTGTTTGTACAAAATGAGATCTCCAGGGAACCAGACACAATAAGAATTCCAGAGGACATCATTGAGCACATAGAGATGTCTAGAGACGAAGTGGAAAAAATGTTCAAGGAACTAAGTAAGAACAAAGCAGTTGGCCCAGATGAAGTTTCAGCATGGGTTCTGAGAGAATGTGCATCTGAGCTCAGCATTCCAATCAACTGATTTTTCATGCATCTCTGTGTACAGGAGTCCTAGCAGGTGTGTGGAAAAATACTAACATTGTTCCAGTCTACAAAAGTGGCAGCAGGGAAAATCCCCTTAATTACAGACTAGTATCATTGACAAGTGTATTGTCAAAATATTGGAAAAAATAATTAAAATTAAATAGGTGGAACACTTGGGAGAAAAATAATATAATAACACAGTATGGATTTTGATCTGGAAAATCCTGTGAAACAAATTTACTAAGTTTTTATCATGGAGCCACAGAGATTTTACAGGAGAGAGATGGTTGGGTTGACTGCATCTATCTGGACCTAAAAGAGTTCCACATAAGAGGTTGTTCTGGAAACAGGAACATACTGAAGGAGTGACAGGGAAGCTTCTAACATGAATGAAAAATTTTCTGACAGAAAAATGAGGGCAGTAATCAGAGGCAATGTACCGGACTGGAGAAATGTTACGAGTGGAGTTCAGTTCTTGCACCTGTAATGTTCATTGTCTACATTAACGATCTACCAGATGGAATATAGAAGTATATGAACATGTTTGCTGATGATGCTAAGATACTAGGGAAGATAAGAAAATTAGATGATTGTCATGCCCCTTCAAGAAGACCTCGACAAAATAAATGTATGGAGCTTTCCACTACTGCCCACATGATGGGTATGGGGTGCATAATAAATAAACTAAACTAACTTGAACACCACTTGGTAAATGGAATTTAATGTGAATAAATACCAAGTTATGGAATGTGGAATATAAGAATATAGACCACACACAATCTACAAATTATGTGAAAATCTTTAAAAAATTCTGATAAAGAAAGAGATCTAAGTGTGATTGTAGATAGGAAACTATCACCTGAGAACCACATAAAGAACATCATGCGAGGAGCCTATGCTACACTTTCCAATTTCAAAATTGCTTTTTAATACATGGATGGTGAAATTCTAGAAATTGTTCATGACCTTTGTTAGACCAAAGCTGGAATAAGGAGCTGTTGTATGGTGCCCATATGTTAAGCAGCACATCAACAAACTGGAAAAGGTGCAAATACATGCAACTAAATGGCTCCCGAAACTGAAGGACAAGAGCTATGAGGAGAGGTTAGAGGCATGCTTCTAGCTACTTCCAAAACTAGAAGATAGAAGAAAAAGAGGTGTATGATCACTACATACAAAATAGTTATGGGAATTGATAAAATTGATAGGGAAGAATTCCTGAGACCTGGAACTTCAACAACAAGAGGTCATAGATTGAAAATTACTAAGCAAAGCTGCCTAAGAAATAAAAGAAAATTCACTTTTGTAAACCGAGTGGTAGACGGTAGGAACAAGTTAAGTGAGAAGGTGGTGGAGGCCAAAACCATCAGTAGTTTCAAAGCGTTAAATGACAAAGAGTGCTGGGTAGACGAGACACCTTGAGTGTAGCTCTCATCCTGTAACTACACAGGTAATTACTAGATTGGTACTATTTCCACTAGATGGACACCCTGTCAACTCAATGGGAATCATCTCCATTTGATGGACAAATGTTGTTTAGTATATTTAAAAAAGGAAAAACTTTGCATTTAAGCCATAAAAATAAACATAAAAACACAACCATGCAGTAGACTGATAAAGAAAAGACCTATTATTTATTATCCACCAGTCATTGAAAGATGTTCAAGAAGAAGGAGATCCGATAAAAAAAAAAAGCCAACCAAATCTCTGGTGTGCCCCCATCTGGAGCACTGTATATCCAAGCATGGAGATGTAACCTTCAAAAGGAAATAACTTTTTCCAAAGTTCAGTGCAGAGTGACAAAAAACCATCCCAAAACCAAGTCAACTCTATGAAAGGTTTATTGACTCGGGGCTAACAATTACTTAACATATTGGAAGATGTTAAGCTAGAGACTTCTTTATAAGATCTATTGTAACTTGTACATGGCAACAGCTTCAAGCTTAGCAGGCCATAATGTAGGACAGAAAACAGAAGATTATTCAGCTGTGTGGAGAGAAGAAATATTGCTGTTACATCACAAATTCACAATTCATGAAGGATGAGACTCCCTGTGGCGTTCACACAGGTTAGGCGGACAATGAGAGTTGATGCAAATATATTTATACTGATATATTTCAGTGTCATTGATTTGTTTTTCACTGGTTTTCTGCAGTTATATTATACAATAGTGTGTAATTTGAGACATGTTTAGAATTAACCATGCTGAACGTAGATACACACGAATACATTCATGTCACTAATATATGCACAACATTATATTCTTTGGACAATAAAATATACTGTTTTTGCTTTTATTACACCGTATACACATTATATATATAAATATCTATATGTTTATGCAATGATACAAACCACTAAGCAGTTCTGGAAAGTGTGATAATCTCTTAACCATTGACCCAAGTTCAGCCTAGCACTTCAGATTCAGATTCTTTATTCAGGTAAAAGTACATCCATAGAGTTACATACCTAATGATGGATTTAAAGTTAGAGATAGTACATACAGTACCTAAAGCCACTAGTATGCATGGCGTTTCGGGCACACGCGTTTCAGGCTGAGCACTTCACATTTTGCATGAAGTTGTAAGTACAGTACTATACAAGCATAGAATATATTATGTTTTCTTCATATTTTATATATTATTACTATGTTTTTTGGGGGGTCAGCCCCTTCTTGCGCCTTGAAGGAACTATACACTGAGATGGTACAATCTTTTAGGTTGCATCAGCCATAGAGTTCTATAGACGTAACCAAGGACCAGCACCAGAACCTGGCGTACTCAGAAGCACAGGAAGTGCTTATATTTATTTTTGTCACCTTACAGGAATGGCAACCAGAAAGTCAGCAACTCATAAACAAACCACTGCTGACTTTATACATTATTATCAGCATGTTTATGCATCAATACAAACCACTAAGCAGTTCTGGTGAGTGTGATAATCCTATAGCCCTGATTCAAGGTCAACCTAGCACCACACATCTTGCAACAAGTTCCAAGTATGTGCATTGAACATTTTACTTTCTCCCTATTTTCAATATTTTTACCATGTTTTATTCAAGCGCAATGATGTATTAGAGTGTCAGGCATATTATTTATATCACAAAGTGTAGGCCATCGGTATTCAAAGATACGTACATCTATGTACTGTATATACAAGAGGGGCCCTGGTAGTACACTCGAGTTCGTTCTCGACTCACAATCGAGAATTCTGGTTTTGAATCCCAAGCAGTACAGAAGTAGTTGGGCGTGTTTCCTTTCACCTCATGTCTCTGTCCACCAAGCAGTAAATAGGTACCCAGGAGTTGGTCAGCTTGTTGTGGGGTTGCATCCTGGGCAGGGTCAGTAATTCAACCCTTAGTGGGGGGGGGGGAGGGAGGAACCTCAGTATAAGCCTAACATGTACTGTATATATACCCTGGCTTCCTGTC